TCTATATACATTTAACAATGAAATATTTTACCTAAATGGACAAATGTACTATTATTAAATACTTTATTTAAATGTATTTTAGTCGTTTTGTCTACCTGTTTTCATTGTTACATCGATCGTTTATAGAAAATATTTCTTAATACAAAAATGTAGGTACGACGTCTATATTTAAGTAATAAAGCTATCTACTACCATTAAATATAAAAATAATATTAATAGTAAAAACATCTATTAATATTGTATAATGAAACTAATTTGATTAGGTATTTATGAGATACATTTTTCGATCATTTATCTATCTTAAATTATCGAAATAGAATTAGTTTTTATAACTAGTAGTAGTAGTTAGCTAATTTTTAACTAAAAATTCTAGATAATATGACTAAATTTTAGGTAGTTTTCCCACATTATTTTTTTCAGTGTAGTACCGTGCTAATTGCCTTCCAATCGTCTAGGATTTGTCGTCGAGAGATAATTGTTTGAAAGTGTTTTTAGTGCTTCTTCTAGTTCTAGACCTTCATATTTAATCATTTCATTTGGGATATATAATACGCATAAGAGAAGACAACAAATTATCAATAGTAACTACTATATTCCAGGATGGATCTTTGGCTAAAGTTATCCACTTGATACTATGCCGTCCGGCGACACCACAGGCACCACAGTAGTGTCGCGCGAAATGTGTCGCTCAACGGCCGGCGTCACCACATTGGTGTCGCGCGTTACATATCGATCTAATGTAAGCAGTGATGGGCGCTGGGTAAATACCCAGCGGGTAGGTATTTCTAAAATGGGTATTTATCCGGGTATTTACCCCAGCCCTGGGTAAATACCCAAACAGTGGGTATAAAAATGATACCAGTAAAAATATATCGATTCCAATAAAAATGAAGAGGAAGANGCACAAGAGCGCGATCCTCGTGTGCTGGGGTCACGCAGGGCCCTCCCGGCCGCGGCTGAAGGTACCTACGTCCTACCTCAGACCATTCTCGCCATGCCCGTTGCACTGCCGATAACGACCGGTCGAGGCGATGCGCAATTTCATTATATAGGGTGTGCTCGTGAATTATGTCCAACAGTGTATTTAATTGCATCTCGGATCGATGGATTTTTCCTAAACCCGTGTTGTTCCGCACTTATTTCAATCTTGTGTGTTGTTTTGTTAGTTGTAATTTTCATTAGTAGCTTCCATCACATAGTACCGTGCTAATTGCCTTCCAATCGTCTAGAATTTGTCGTCGAGAGATAATTGTTTGAAAGTGTTTTTAGTGCTTCTTCTAGTTCTAGACCTTCATATTGAATCATTTCATTTGGGATATATAATACGCATAAGAGAAGACAAGAAATTATCAATAGTAACTACTACATTCCAGGATAGATCTTTGGCTAAAGTTATCCACTTGATACCTTGCCGTCCGGCGACAGCACAGGCACCATCATATATATACATATATATATATTTTTCTATGGGCACCATAGTAGTGTCGCGCGAAAAGTATCGCTCAACGGCCGGCGTCATCACATTGCTGTCGCGCGCTACATATCGATCTAATGTATCTAATCTGAATTTGCTGCCGGCGCCAAGCGAATAAATTTTTACAAAACGTGCGGACGGCAAAGTGTTAAAGTAGTTCAATTTCTAAAAAAATAAAAAGTCCAACAGTTTACGTAGAATGTCACGGATTTTTAATAGGCAAAATTTTTGCTCCAACCTACCAATTCAATTTTTCTGAATTTTTGTCCACTATTTTTGTTCTGTCTGTTTCATCCTATTTTGATATATGACCATAAATAAGTATAAAAACCATAAATATGTTTCACTCAATTCTTTCTCAACTCGTTTCTATCCACTCTTATATGTAGGCCTCTTCCATATTTTTCCATGTCTTTCTGTTTAACGCCATTTGTAGCCAATTTCCGGGGTCTCCACTGGACAGTGATGGGCGCTGGGTAAATACCTGGCGGGTAGGTATTTCTAAAGTGGGTATAAAAGTGATACCAGTAAAAATATATCGATTCCAATAAAAATGAAGAGGAAGACGAGGAATTGTCAACAATCAAAGACGAATCTGCCGTAATTTAGATTAGATCAAGTTATTATGATTATTATCACCAAGCAGCCCTCTGCGTCCATTGTTGGACATAGACCTTCCCTATTCTATGCTGTTTGAATCCAATTGTTGGTCATTCTTTTGACGTCCACTTCGTCTGTTCGCTCGCGGTCTTGCAACTCGAGCAACCGTTTTGTCCACTGCTCATTCTTGATTCGCATCACATGACCATTTCGTATGTAGTCCCTCAGAGTTAGACCCAGGATCGACCTCCCCATCTATCTTTGCGCTACTTGGACCCTCCTGGCAGTGATTACCGTTAATGTTAAAGTATCGGAGCCTTATGTCATAACCGGAAACACGCATTGATTGAAAGCCTTTGAAATCCTTCTGTTTAGTTCGCTTGTTTGATTATCTCTCGATACACGAACCTCATAGCCAAGATATACATAGCTGTGAACCCTCTCAATCTCATTATTTGATTGATTTCTCCTTGTTGATATTTAGCACGACTCTTGCACACACCTCCTTTAAGTCGTTCATCATTAGTTTAATCTCTCCAAGGCTATCCGATATAAGAACTATATCGTCCGCGTAGCGCAAATTATTTAAGCATTTGCAATCAATGTTTATGCCTTTTTGGGTCCAATCCAGTTGTTTAAATGCACTCTGAGGACTGTGATGAACAATTTGAGTTCAACAGTGTCCCGCCTTGTTTTACTCACAATCAGTACTTTACTACTTTTACTCTCTTCAGTACTTTCATGCAATTTTACCGTCATTGTAGCATTCTTGTAGATGTTATAAATAAGTTTGGTATGTCGATAAGTGACTCTGCATTTTTGAAGTGCTTGCAAAACTGCCATCAACTCAATTTAAATTAAATTTATAAATACCTCAAAATACCCATCTTGGGTAAATACCCACGGGTATATATCCAGGATATTTACCCTTAAAAATAAATACCCGGGTATTTAACAACACTGCCGCTGGATGATCTTTTTCAGCCATCGAATGCTGTCTTTTCTCGCGACTTATTCTACGCATCGCCACTTCAGGACATCAATCCTCGCCACACGTCTGTGATCTAAGAGCGCCTTTGGATCTCCTTCAAAAGGACCTCCTTTATATTGAAATGAATCGCCTTAGATCTCGTCACCTTCCATTAAATCTTACTGAGGATCTGGCTAGAAACAACTACAGCATCAACTGGAACAAGGAAAAAGACTGGAACGCCAAATCCACCACCGGGAATATATTTATTTATTTATTTAATGTAAAAAATTTGGTAAAAAATAAATATTTTTTATTTTTTTTTATAATTATTTTTTATTTTATTTTGTTATTATGAGTAACAAAAAGTTTAAAATAATAAAATACAAAAATAAATAACATTAAACAAATTAATAATTTTAAATCACAGTTGATATTACTGTAATTTGTTAATTTCTAAAAATTAAAACGTAAATACATTTAAAAAAATCTGTACCAATATTATGTAATCGATACAGTACACTGTACATATAGTTAATAGTCATGACCACTAGATGTCAGCGTATATTATATGTATTTGATTTTTTCGAATCAAATTTTCTTAATGATTGTTTTAACGAAAATACGCTAAAATAATCTTCCGTTGTTAATAAATTAAATTTAATGAAACAAGTCAAACATAGTTCGTTAATTTAATTAAATTCGTTTGAGAAACTGTTTACAGTATTTATAAACAACGGTTCAGTGACTTTCAATTTTTCATAAAAAACCTTGTATAACAGATAAGAATACGATAAAGAAACAGATAAAAAAGGTGTTTATTTGCACACTGTCATAATATTAAACAGAGTTTATCATGTGTTTACAAAAAAAAAATAAAACCACATAATTTGTGGTCGTTTCAAATAATTTTAAATTAAATTCATAATACCTACACACCAATATCTCCAATTACTTAAAAAGTTATTTTTATCAATTTAAATAATGGCCCAAAAGTATTTTTAAATTATAAAGTTATAAATATTTGTTAATAATATAATAAAATGGCAGCAATTTTAATATAAATAATCTTTAAATTCGTGTATAAAATTCTTTCTGGTTCATAAGCCATACACTTCAAATCCCCTAACTGACGTCTGTCATTGCGCGATTGCTTTAGTGATTTTTGAGTCGAACAAAAGTGACAGATAGAGACGAGAAAATTTGCAAACTTCACAGAAATTTCTCACTGAATTAACATTAAATCAAAGCGAACCCAGTTAATTTGCAAACACAAATGTTAACACCATGCCGAAATTGCATGCGTCGTGGCCCCTTTTCATTCTTACGTTATTAGGATTGGTGGCAAGAACCCGTTTAACCATCTACGACGGCGGTCACGGTTTGTATATTTTTATACTTTTTGCTGTTTTTTCCGCAACCCCCACGTTGTCACGAGAAAGTCTTTGCTAAACAAACCCCCATTTGTATTTGCAGCATTTATCCCCAGCAGTCATGACCGTTATATCATGCAAGATATATCTTCTATGCATGAGGTATTTTATGCTATATATAAATTGTGAAACATGTGATAATTATTTGTTTATTTTTTGTAGGAATTATCTTCTGATATTAGTTCAACATTCAATAATTTGAAGTTAAATTTAAGGTTTGAACCAGAATTTTTGGATTTTAAGCAAAGGTGGGTTTTCTTTAATGAAAATTTCGTTGATTGAAGTTTTATTTTTTGTTATTGTAGACCTTTAGGAGTACCCCATGTGGAAAAAGTCAGGTTAATAAATGTTGATAGAAATAGAAGTGTTGATATGACTTCTATTTCTGGAAGTACTGTTCATTTTCATAGTTCTTTTTTTGAAAATAAGGTAAATATTTTAATAACTATTTGATTCATTTATATTTAATGTTAAGATTGTTACACAGATATGTGAAATGATTTTAAGGATTAATTCATCATCTAAAAACTTTTGTGAAGTTGTGAAAATTTCTTATGAACGTAATAGGACAGAGTTGTGTAGATAGTATCAATGTGACAAATAGTAGTTTAATCAAATTTAATATTTCACTAAATTCTCAGTATGACAATTCCCATAACACTTATTTCTCTACTACTTTCTCTATTTCAAGAAATAATTGTGAATTTTATGTGGGTGATATTATACCCGACATGTTATGTACAAAATTTTGCATGTTCAAAAGGATTTTACATTTCACTTATACAGGGTGTATCTGAATGACTGCAACAAACTTCAAGGGGTGATTCTTTAGTGCATTTTCAGGGTACTTTGATATATGAACCATGGGCGACTTCGGCTCCCCTAAGGAGCTACAGCCCTTCAAAAATGGCGGAAAATTTTGGTTTAATTTTTTTTTCTCAAAAATCATTAACGCTAGGAAAATGAAATTTGGGGAATATGTTTAACTCATAATAGGGCACGTTTTGACCCTATTTGTACTTTCAACCTATCCTTCTAAACTACTAAACGTAACCACCCCCTTTGCATTTTTGCTAAAATTTTTTTTATGAAGATGATAAATACATTGGAAAAGTTTCAGTTAGATAGATAAAACTATTCTAAAACTTTTTTCTCTCTGATGTTCTTCTAAAAATTAATAATTTCTGAGAAAAAAAATAATTAAGCAAACACTAACTGTTAAGCCCTGAAGTTTGTTGCAGTCATTCGGATACACCCTGTATACTATATACAGGTGTCACACAAAAAACGCCCCAAGCTGTAACTCTGTCATTTATATTCTGATTTTAATGAGCCATTTTAATTGAACTTTTGATTTTTAAATTGGTCGGTATGTTTTTTTTTCACGTTATTGGATAGAGATTTTTTTTTTAAATCTATTGGTGTATAATACATCAATATTAATTGTAATTTTAGTAGAGAAAAAAATTAAAACACTTTCCGAACGTTCTCATAAATGCACATGCGTTATAATGTAGTGTGCCATGGAAAAAAATAAAAAACAACTTATAACTGTCATTACAAATTATTAGTGACATTTTTAATAAGTATAATTCGACGTTTTTTAAAGATATCATGAATTTCAGTGAACTTACTGACATGCTACAAGTTTATTTTGAATGTAGTAAAAACAGTAGTCAGGCATTGCGACTTTACATGGAACGTTTTCCGGAAAGAGATGTTCCAAATCGTCGTAAATTTAGCCGAATTGAAGAAAATTTAAGAAGATTTGGAAGTTTCAAGAAACCGAAGGTAGT